ATGTATTAGACTGCTTTAAGTTAGATAAAAAATATTCTTTTTAATGTAAGAATTTCTTGTTGGTTCAACTGGAGATGCTCATATCATATTCTGTATCATGTAACCGATCCAGGCAGACGAGGGATCGATCATTAACTCTAGATTAGATCGTGGAATCCTCTAGAAAGACTTTTCATCTATCCCGCACTTGTAATACTTTGCGATCTCCTATATTTATTAACACGAAGGCGTTCGTGTTAAAGATTAGGCAATACCTCTCACTCTCCAATAACTCTAACAACTCTAAGTTTTGTCGGATATCACTAAAGGGTCAAAGATGCTCTAAGTCGTCTAGTGGAAGGTCTATTCTCGTAACCAAACATTGATTAAAAGATAAAAATGGTGTACATGAAGAATTGACAGGATATTAAACATGTCTTAAATTTAAATAGGCACTATACTTCTTAAATGTAGGAGTAGTACGCTTCTAAAGAGAGCAGGAACAGAGAAGGATACCACTGCCAGAAAATCTATCCGCCTTGTGTTCAGGAGGAAATGCATACCGGAAGGACAGGAACAGAGAGCATACGGTGGTGGGGGAGAGCGCTTTGAGATTCGAGCTAGCCCTTGCAGGGTACACGTGTCGCTTGCAGATCCGATCCCTACCTCGCCCCACCACCAAAAAAAAGTGCAGCGCAGCAGCAAGTAACGCCCGCCGGCCCGCCGCCGCACACCAACACTTCCCCTCTCCCGTGCCCTCGTGCGACGGCGATCATTCCGGTACCTTCTCCCACCTCCCGACCCCCTTCCGTCGCCCCACCCAAACCGCTGCGGTTCCTCCTTCCTCCTTTCTCGGCCGCCCGCCCATCGGAATCCAGGGAAAACCGCCGCCATGGCGTCGGCGCCCGGCGGCGATCCAGTGCTCGCCGCCTGCAAGGTATGACACGGCGACCGTCTGTGCCCTTTCCTTCCTCTTACGTATATGCGTCTGCGCGCTCAATCTGTTGACAATGGGTTCTAAAGCCCTCCCCGATGATCCCCTTTGATAGCCTATAATTTCTGCGCTCATTTGATTAGATTTGTAATCCCGCTGTTTAATCCCCTGTTTATCCGGCTAGGGACAAAAAACACTCTCGATTGGTCATATCAATAGCCAAAATGCGCCCCCTTTTTGCCCCCTCGCAACAGATCAGCTGGTAGAACTTGTCCGTGTTTGCATTACCCTTTAAGCAGAATTAATGGGGACAGTGTAGTATGAATATCCGGTCTGATGTAGGCAAGATGCTTATCTTACAAAGCAGAGGGATGAGAATGACTGTATCATCTGGCTTATCGAATAAATGCTTTGTTTGCAGGACAAGCTGAAGCACTTCCGATTAAAAGAGCTAAAAGATGTCCTGTATAAGATTGGACTTTCAAAGCATGGAAAGAAGCAGGTTTGTTCACAGCCTCTCTTTTTGTTGTTGTTGTATATCTACGCTTTTTACACAAGGAAATTCTAGGTATTTATTTACTTTATACTCCCTCCGTTTCTAAATATAAGTCTTTTTAGAGATTTCAATACAAACTACATACGGATGTATATAGACATATTTTAGAGTGTAGATTCACTCATTTTGCTCCGTATGTATTCCCTTATTGGAATCTCTAAAGAGACTTATATTTAGAAACGGAGAGAGTATTATCCATTGGTCATATGCTTCTAGGCTCTCTTTATTGTTCGGAAGCACGGAAAAGATTGGATTTTCATGCAATATTTTTTTCCGGAACTGATTACTTTCCATGCGTCTTGTAGTATTGTATGTTACTCCCTCCGTTCACAAATATACGATGTTCTAACTTTTTTCTGAATCGGATGTATATAGACACGTTTTAGTGTGTTTGCTCACTCACTTGAGTCCGTATGTAGTCCATACTGAAATATACAAAACAGCTTATATTTGTGAACAGAGGGAGTAGAATATTTATTTACTCCTGAACAACTTTGTTTCGGTGTTTTGCTTTACAGGAACTAGTGGATAAAATCATTGCAATATTATCCGATCAACAGGATCAAGGTAAATCACAATTTTTTCTCAGTGATATTGTTAGACTAGTGTTTCTACAAGGAGCTCCTAAGGTATCACTTCCATTTTGTTCCTGTAGCCTCCAAAATTGATGGCTTACCAAACAGACTGATGGTTGGAAAAGAAACGGTAGTGAAAATAGTCGAGGACACTTTTAGGTGAGGTCACATCTCTTCATATCATTATGTTGTGTTTCTATTATCTGGATTGAGCCTTACAAGTCTCTCTTGATTTTTGCTTACTATTTCTAGAAAAATGCGTGAGCCTGCAAATGCTGTTTCAGCCTCTGGAAACCAGAACGAGCTGGGGTACAGTGTAATGCCTATGAAAAACCCAGATGATTCTGCTCAGCTGGATATCAAGGTCCGTTGCCCCTGTGGTAATTCCATGGCCACTGGGTCCATGATTCAGGTACAGCTCCCATGACAAGTATGATTATATGACTGCTAGGTTCTGTTATTCATCACCTCCAACTAGTTCAATAAGATCTTTAAAATTTGTTCATTAATCCTGTTAATTTTAAGAATTGTTTGTTGAATTATCAAAGCAGTTAGCTTTGGCATTTTGCATATTCTGGAACTTCAAAGCAGTGACCTTTATTATGTATCGTGAAACTTCAAAGGAGCTAATTGCCATCGACCATTCTCTGTTTTGTAAAAAAAGCTTGCATCTACGTGTAACATCAGTTATGAATTGTAACCTTTAAGTGTTTCATTATTCCATCATTTAGAGACCTGTAGCGTTCTGTAATTTTGCTCTTGACAGGTTTTACTGCTTCTATTTTCCTTCATGTTTTGTTTGGTCCTTTTCAGTGTGACCATCCACGATGCAATGTATGGCAACATATTGATTGTGTCATCATACCTGAGAAGACTGCAGATACTGCTCCTCAAGAACTACCTTCCAGTTTCTATTGTGAGATGTGCCGAGTCAGCAGGGCAGACCCGTAAGTTGATCTCACCTTCAGTTTAATAGCAAACCCTTGCTGAACCATGCATGCTCACTATTTACTTGTTTGATTAGTTTTAATGTTTGGTGATGTGCCAGTGCTATTAATCATGTGATGTTTCAGTTTATTGTATTGGATAATGTTCATGCATTCTATTAGTTGAATTAGATTATCTGGGTCGTCCTGTAGCATTAATTGTAATCATGTATGAAACTCTCATTACTGTGCAACTTAGAACTGGTTTTCCTGCATCTCTTTTATGTTCTCTCTTTTCCCCCGCTCCGAATGACTGCCTTTTCTGCATTTCGTAGCTTAGAAGTCTTAATACTAAATGGCCGATTGTTCTGACATATTTTCCTTCTGCAATTTGCAGTTTCTGGGTCACTATTAACCACCCATTACTTCCAGTGTCAGTAGCTCCTTCGAACATAATGGCAGATGGGTAAGTCATGCATTATTTGTCTCCAAAGTACATTTTTTATTTTCACCTCCTCTACCTCCATTTACGCGTCAATGGCCAGGAGCCACCGTGCCCTGTTGATTGGCCTTGCGGGGGAGCAAATATTTTCCTTCATCATTCTGTTTTATGTGCCGTGGAATATCTTCCAGAATCTCTTCAACTGTACCATGTTGCAAAAATGTCTAAATAAGCAAAAAATTGTTGTTCTTGATAACTGTTGTAACTCCTCTGGCATGTCCTTTTTTGTAGAGCCATCTCAAATTAGTACGTTAAAGTTTGAGTGCAAACAAGTGATTATATCATGCCTCATCATTCATAATATGTTTATCAGGGTGCCAAAGCAATGTCTAGAAACCATTCAGTATATCCTGTTAGGAATTTTTGTTCATGTGTCAGACATTATCTGCTACTCCCTCCGTCCCATAATGTAAGACGTTTTTTGACACTAGGGTAGTGTCAAAAAACATCTTACATTATGGGACGGAGGGAGTAGTAATTACTTCGTGTTTTGTCTGCTGTGGTGATATTACTGCATGAGCTATCTTACCTCAATACTTAGAACCCAGGTACTCGATCTCATTAATTATGAATGAGAAGTGGACTCTGTGTCTTTTTTCTTGCTTTACAACCTGAGATGGTTCTGATCATGATTATTCTTTCGTTGTCTATAAGAAGTAAACTCCGCCTATGTCTTCTAGGCATAGCCGGTCCCAAGCCCGGGTAAAGGAGGAGGGTTGTGATAGGCGTGGCGAGCCAACGTAAAAACTAGCCAGTCCCATAGGTATGAAACCCATTTGAGCGAGAGTAGTACTAGGATGGGTGACCTCCTGGGAAGTCCTCGTGAAAGGGTTTCATATCTAAGGGTTGTGATCGGCTTGGCGAGCCAACGTAAAAACTAGCCAGTCTTTTGGGTATGAAACCCATTTGGGTGAGAGTAGTACTAGGATGGGTGACCTCCTGGGAAGTCCTCATGAAAGGGTTTCATATCTAGCCTACCCCAACTTGTTTGGGATAAAAGGCTTCGTAAGTAAGTAAGTCTATAAGAAGTAAACATTATACGGTGGTTGTACATCTGATGAACATGTTGCTACCATGAGATTTGAGTAACTAGATGACCACAAATTGTTTTATGTCACTGTACAAGTTAACTGAACCATGATACTTCTGCGATTTGCATAGTTTTTGTTTGTGATTCATGCTTATGTTCAGGTCATATACTGTACAGTATATCGAGAAAACCTTTCCGTTATCAAGAGCTAATAGGGAAATGCTACAGAAAGCTGAATATGACATTCAGGTTAATTTCGTTTCCTTCTTCATTTCCTTGAACTATTAGGTTTGTTCATGATTTTCTTTAAATAACCATTTGTATGATCATATATTATTTGATACTACCTCTGTCTCAAAATATAAGACGTTTTTGTAGGCTAGTTTAGACTAAAAAAATGTCTTAATATTTTGAGACGGAGTTAGTACATTGCTAAAAAGATCAAAGAGGTAATTGTGCTCCTGGTACAAGAACTTGGCTGGGGGGCTCACTTTCCTACAAAAAACTTACAAAACCTACAGCAAAGGTACAATAACTTGGCCTGGACGTGCACCTGAGGTACAAATCGCTCCTGTGCTGACACATGGACGCCAGCGGGGCAAAGTGCATGCGCTGGGCTGCTCAGATTCTTTGCAAAATGGCCCCTGCGAGTCTGTGAAATTTTGGTCGAGGTCCCCTGGGCACCGTAGACATCTAATTTAGGACGGAAAAACTGACCTAATCTCAGCCATCTCACGCGCTTAGCGTTTCTGGCGATCCATTTTCCTGATTTGGGCGTTTCTGACCATTAGATCTGCTGTCTAAGGTGTTGCTGCTCCAGGAGAAAAAACAAAGCACTCTGGTTAACTGGGCCACTTCTGCCAGCCCATTTATCTAACTGAGCATGGTCCAGGAGAAAAAACTATCCGCTCGATCGATGGAGGGAGCTCGGTCGCAGGGTCGTCGAGCAGCAGTGTACCGTTGTTGTCGGACTCCGAGGGGTGGAGGCGATCGAGATCAGCCATGTGTAGCGGCATCACGCGAGATGCGTGATTTGTTGATGGTTGTATCGACTGCCCATCGATCGAGCTAAGTGTTTTTTCTCTTGGAACGTGCTCGGTTGGCAGAAGTGGCCCAGTTAACCAGAGAGCTTCGTTTTTTCTCCTGGAGCAGCAACTCCTTAGATAGCAGATCTAATGGCCAGAAACACCCAATTCAGGAAAATGGACGGCCGGAAACGCTAAACGCGTGAGATGACAGACGACTGGGATTAGGTCAGTTTTACTGTCCTAGATTAGATGTCTATGGTGCCTAGGGGACTACGGTCAAAATTTCAGACTTGCAGGGGCCATTTTGCAAAGAATCCAAGCAGCTCAGCGCATGCACTTTGCCCCGCCGGCGTCCATGTGTCAGCACAGGAGCATTTGTACCTCAAGTTATTGTACCTCGATGTAGGTTTTGTATGAAAGTAAACTCACCTGCCAAGTTCTTGTACCAGGAGCACAATTACCTCAAGATCAAATATAATAACAAGGATATGTTTGGGACTTATGAGTTAATACATGGTGACAGTGCTCAATTTCTAATATCTTGCGCCATCTTAGAGAATATTGGACTATGTGTATCCATTTTTGACCTTGGTTTGCTTTGCACCATTTATTTCTTGCAGGTTTGGTGTATCCTTCTCGATGACAAAGTTCCTTTCAGGATGCACTGGCCTTTACATTCTGACATGCAAGTTAATGGTATTTCCATTGGCTTACCATTTGTACTGAAATACTATCTGACAGGGTCTTATAGGAAATTATTTATTCAGTCAGTCAATTTGTTGATTTTGGGATCAGTCAAATTTCAGTTTCATCTTATTTTTGTATTCAATTTTGACCGCCCTCATGCACTGATACTATTCGCTCATTTTATGCTGCTTCCCCTTGCCTTATTACGAGTCTTATGTGCATGCAGGCCTGTATGCATCTATGGCTTAATGCACTTATGCATTCCAGTATGTTCTCAATTTAGGAATTTAATACTTTGAGTTCTGCATCATTCCAGCCTTGTAGATATAGGCGTGATCCGAGTCTTTTGCAGCTTGGTTACATGGAACATTTTGTGGCAGCTATAAATTGTTCTTCCTCACTGAATTGTGGGTTCATTCATCTAGATCTGAACTATTCGTTTTGGAAATTATTTGTTTTCTCAGGTATTCCTGTTCGGGTTGTCAGCAGGCAAGCTACACAGCCGTTAGGGGCCAATGGTAGAGATGATGGTCTTATGGTAAGTATCTTGTTGCAATGGAGAATGCTGTTCTTTAACTTTATACCTTAACAATGATTTGCCAAAATTTGATGATTAGTTACATGATACATTTTCTGCATGGATGTTTGTTGATCCTACTCAATTTTTTGTTCCCAGTTAACACAGTTTTTGAAAGAAGGTCCCAATAAGATTGTTCTATCTAGAAGTGACTCTCGTGCGTTCTGTTTGGGTGTCAGAATTGCCAAGAGGAGATCTCTGGAAGAGGTAATTGCTTATGGTATACTGTGTCACATGAAAGGCAATTTCACATTTCCATTGTTGACCATGATATTCTTCAGAAATACATATTTGGCGAAAGAGGGTATTTGGATCAGGAAACACTTTAGATATCTTTTTTTTTTCATAGGCACGTTTGGCACTCCCTTTTCCATCAACGCTGTAAATGTTTTGGTTTTTCTTGTTTTTTAATCTTTAGTGCTTAATGATAAGGCCTCAAAGAGGGTAGCTGTTTTAGGTTGATGAAAGATGGCATAATACTAATAATGCACGTTATAGAAGGGTTCCAAATCCCAGATGGTTCCTGACCGGTATTTCTGGTTTACAAGTGAACTGTGCTGTTAAAAAGTAATCTCTATACAAGCTCCAGGAAAATGCCAGAATGGTTCTTTCAGCAGTTACCGTAAGCAAGCTGCTACCTAGGAACCATCAAGTGCCTGAGATTTGGAACCCTGCTTTCTTCTTTTAATTCGTCTTTTAAAATTTTGATAATGGGCAGGTCCTAAATTTGGTACCAAAGGAACAGGATGGTGAGAAGTTTGATGATGCCCTTTCTCGTGTGCGTCGCTGCGTCGGTGGGGGGACTGAGGCAGATAATGCAGACAGTGATAGTGATATTGAGGTTGTTGCTGATTCAGTCTCTGTAAATCTCCGATGCCCTGTAAGCACTCTGGCCATCAATGAGAATGTTTAGATCCATAATGATATTGCCAATCCTGCTCTTTCCCTGATATGTCTGTTGCACCTGACCTCATGTGCATTTTTTTTTTGAGGAATGACCTCATGTGCATTGGAATATTGAATATTTAGCATTTGTCATTGTACATTGTTCTGTATACCATGACACCCAAGGCTCGGTGCAATCTTCCTAGAATAACTTTATTTATGACATTTCTAACCTAGATGTTTTTTTTATACAATCCCATGTTAGCAGCATCGTATTGTTTGATTTATAGTATGTTTTGCAGACCTTGTCACAAAGTTAGCCATTTACGTTCTAATGTCATGTTGTGAAAAGCACGTTCATGTAAAAGCTAATTTATTTTGACAGATGACTGGTTCAAGGATTAAGGTAGCTGGTAGGTTCAAACCCTGTGTCCACATGGGTTGTTTTGATTTAGAAGCTTTTGTGGAACTGAATCAACGTTCACGGAAGGTTTGATTACTTGTCTCGCATCATTGTTTCTTTTACCTTTCTTTTTTCTAATCAAACTAGGATTCCTTGTCTGCAGTGGCAATGCCCAATTTGCCTGAAGAACTATTCTCTGGAGAATCTAATTATTGATCCTTATTTCAATCGCATCACTTCGCTAGTGAGTCCATATTGTTAATGAAGTACATGTTTTCATCTCTGTTACTCCATTATGCATCTTATGCTGATTTTGTTGCATTTTGGTGATTTAGATCAAAAGCTGTGGAGATGATATATCAGAAATCGATGTCAAGCCGGATGGTTCCTGGAGAGCTAAGGGTGGAGCTGAACTGAAGGATCTTATGCAGTGGCATTTACCAGATGGCACTCTCTGTATGTCCACAGGTACAGGACCGAAACCCAACACGGGTGTTGTAAAGCAAGAGATTAAAGAAGAACCGTTGCCTGAAAATAAGGGTTCTCGTCTCAAACTGGGAATTAGGAGAAACAACAATGGCAAATGGGAAATTAGCAAGAAAGGGGATGTTAATTTGAAACCAACTTCTTATAATGATCAGAGTAGAGACTTTGATAATGGGAAATGCGTCACCCATACAAGCAACAGTAATCATGAGGATGCTAAAGGTGGAAGTTATAATTCAGAACCGGGACAATCTGATCACCCTACGAGCAGTGTATATGATCTGAATACTTCTCCTGGGGATGAACATGTTCCAATAGTTCTGAGCGACTCAGATGATGAAAATGCTACGGTGTTGTCTCCTAGTGCAGTGAATTGTGGCGCAGCAAATGACACCGGATATGAGTTTCCACCGCCCAATCCACTTGACACTTCAGGAGGCCCAGATGAAACTTCATTTTTCCTTAATGAAAACTTTGATGATCTGGGGTTGTCATTTTGGGAGTATCCTTCGACTACCCAAGATGATCCAGGAATACAAGGAACAGATAATCTGGGTGAAGTGCAAAACTACCCTGCCACCAATCTATCTCTGCACGAGCCAGTTTCTACGGTTAATTTGGGCGTATTAGCACCAGCAGCAAACCAACCAGAATATGGGAATGATGGAAGTTTAAATAATGCCAAAAACACTTCCCGGAAAAGGAAGAACCCTGCGAATGAAATAACATCTTTAGATGGTATGATAGAAGTCACCCTCTGCTACTTAATTCTGCAGTTTATTGTGATTTTGTTCCATCCATATGAAGTCTTTTACAAATGAATGTGGAAGCATTTTGCTTCTTTATACTTTGTGAAGACAGTGAGCAGTGGCCCACATAATCGTGCCTCTGCATTTTCACCGGAAGGTCTAACATTTGATTCCTTGTGTGCAGCTTCAGTTCTCATGAGTGGCAATGACGACGACGACTTTGCTGGGGATGGATCTGGTGGCACTTCCTCACTGTCTGGTCAGCCACGGTCAGTTCGACCAAAATCCGTACTAGCTATTGAGTCAGATTCTGATTAGCGTCCCTAGTTGGGTGCCCCCGTACTATTGGTTGGTCGGCCGGAGGTGTGAGATGCATGCTGTTCGCTTGGTGGAATGGTTCCTCTGGTTTTGTTTGTGATCCAGGACTGACTGTCCCTCCATGTCTGTCTTTCCAAGAAGGATGAAAATGAACGCAGTGGTATCTATCTATATAGGAAGCAGTTCTTTTTTCTTTTTCTATCATTCTCCTTTAATGATTCATGGTGATCACTTTGGAGGCAGTAGAAGAATTTAGGGAAGGGTGCAAAGCTCCTCCATCGTGCCTGCCTGTAGGCAAAAGTCTGTAGCATAGCTAGCTAGCTAGCAGGAACTGAGGGTCAGTTGCTGTACATGTAGTCTCCCGTCTTTAAAGAGTTTCCTTTTGTTCAGCCTGTGGTAAGAACTAATATGCCATGCTTCGATATTTTATTTTCTGTATGTATGTACTCCCTCCGTCTCTAAATATAAGCACTTTTAGAGATTTCAATACAGACTACACATATTTTAGAGCGTAGATTCACTCATTTTGCTCCGTATGTAGTCTATATATTGAAATCTCTAAAAGATCTTATATTTCGGACCAGAGGGAGTATGTAGGAAATTCATGGTATTTAGCATTTAGCGGTGGTATTTTGCAAGGTTTGCGACTTGAAATGTGAGCCAAAATCCCCCGTTTCATTATTTCATTTTGTCAAGACGCAAACCCCACAATGTTAGCCAATGCCACCAGGTAAAAACCACACAATGTTAGCCAATGCCACCAGATATAGTAATATGCTAAAGTGACGTGTATCTGGGAGCAGAGGGTAAGTCGTCGTCGGCGGCGAAGCTCAGGGCCATGACGACGTCCGACATGATGGGCCTTACGGTGTCCTCCTCCTGCAAGCAAATGGCCGCCACGGCCACCGCCTGCTTCAGTTCCCTGCCGGTCGGCCCTTCTACCAGGAGCGGATCCACCAGCTCGTGCATCCTCCTCTGCTCGCTGAACATGGGCGCCGCCCAGGCCACGAGGTTCTGCTCCCCAGAGGGCCTGCTCTCGTCGATGACCCGCCTGCCGGTGATGAGCTCGAGCAGCACCACGCCGAAGCTGTACACGTCCGACTTCACTGTCAGGTGCCCCTTCCTCACGTACTCGGGCGCGCAGTAACCGTAGGTGCCCATCACCCTCGACGAGCCGTCCTTCTCCTCCTCCGCATCACCGCCCTTGCCGTTGCGGGTGATGGGTGTGGCCAGCTTGGCGAGGCCGAAGTCGGAGAGCTTGGCGTTGTATCCCTCGTCGAGGAGGATGTTGGAGGACTTGAGGTCGCGGTAGATCACCGGCGGGTTGGCAGTCTCGTGGAGGAACTCCAGGCCCTGGGCGGCGTCGTGCGCGATCCTCATCCTGGTTCGCCACGGCAGAACCGGCGGTGGTGGCTTCTCTTCGCCGTCCGCTGGGACTCGGGGGAGGAAGAGGTGATTTTCGAGGGAGCCGAGCGGCATGAGTTGGTAGACGAGGAGTCGTTGGTTGCCGTCGGCGCAGTAGCCCAGGAGGCCGACGAGGTTGGGGTGGGTCAGGAGGCTGCTCAGCACCAGCACCTCCACGAGGAACTCGTGGTCGCCCTGGAACCCCGTGCGGTCGAGCTGCTTGACGGCCACCGCCGACGAGCCGATGAGGCCCCTGTAGACGCGGCCGAAGCCGCCCTCGCCGATGAGGTTGGCATGGCTGAAGCTGTCCGTGGCGGCGGCGAGCTCGGGGAAGGTGAAGGAGCGCGCCGAGACGATGCTGTGGTTGTAGTTGGGGACGTCGACGGAGTGGCGGCCGAAGCTGGCTCGTGCCGACGAGGACTCGGTTAGCGAGGTGCCCGACCGGATGAACCGTTTCCGAGACGGCGCGGCATCGTGGCTATGCTTCTTCCTGAAAGTGGCGCTCCTCCCGGGCCTGGGCTTCCTCTCCTCGTCCATGGCGGTGCCGTCGTGCGGGAAACAACGGAGCCAGCTCAACATCTTGTAGTGCTTGCCGGCCGGCCGGCCGGGAGCCCGGCCGGGAGTAGGAATGGGTGATCAGGAAGCAATGGAGGCAGGGCGATTTGGCTCGGGGGAAGCATGCGAAATGCACAGCCTTTAATTTCGAGGGGTGGCCGGCTGGCCGTCCATGGTGACCGCGGTTTTGAATGCATACTGCCTATTCATGGCAAGCGCCCCGCTGTGCGTTGCTTCCTTGTAAATTCGATCTATTCCTGCTTTTCTTTTCCTTCTTTTTTTTGGCGAGGAAAACTTTTAATCTATTCAGAGATCACCAATGTGTCAGGTGCCTGAAAATATTTCTTGTTGGATTTGCGTTCAAAGGCAGAAAAACAAGATCGCTGGGTTGACTGAATGATTCTTCTCCTTCCAGTCGATTTTAAGTACTCCCTCCGTTTCGCAATGTAATGCGCCTGAGCTTTTCAAGATTTAAATTTGACAATAAATTTAACCGAGTATGGGGCATCAACCTATAATACTAGTACTAGTAAGTACTCCCTCCGTTCCGAATTACTTGTCTCATATATGGATGTATCTAGATGTATTTTAATTCTAGAGACATCCATTTCAGCGACGAGTAATTTGGAACGGAGGGAGTATATGTTATCTAATCAGCTTGCTAAATTTTATCATTTGTGCATGCGCACACACTATGCATGTGAATGTAAAACTTTTCGTAACAAGTACTCCCTCCATTCCCTCATATAAGATCTTTTAACTTTTTTCTTGATTCATACATATTCAGACACATTTTGGCATGTATGTTCACTCATTTTAGTACGTATGTAGTCAATATTTTGTAATAGCTAAAAGGTCTTATATTAGGGAATGGAAGGAGTATATTTGCTTGCACACGCATACACTGTATTTATACAAATTAATGAGAGGAGAAAAGAGGGAATTAAAACATTGGTTCTTGTTTTTTTATTTTAGCAACCATTATGCTATTTTTAAAATTAAAACCACACAATAAATTACATTGGTCATATCAGATTTCCACAATATTCTTACACTACGGGCTATAAGGTGTGGACTTAAGATCAACAAAACGACCTGGTTAAACAAAATTTGTTGTAGTAAAAAAAAAAGCTTAAACTTAAACAAATAAAAATACCAAAATAAAACAAAAATTTAAAAATTCTAAGGTAGAATGAATATGGGCATTGGTATTACCCCAAAGAAGAAAGAACATGAAAGAAAAACTTGGCATTGTGAATGTTAGTATTCTTTTTTATAAGCTTGATTTTTTTTACTCAAGACAAAAATAATATGGGTAGTAAAAAGAAAAAGAAAGTGGTATTGTGCAAACATGCCTAAAGACTTGCCAAACTTTTTTCGTATAGAGAGGATTCAAAATATATGAAAAACTTGCACACAAAATATGCAAAAGTTGCACAATTCAGTATTGTGAAAGAACAAGTGTAAACTAGTGCAAGAACAAGTGTAAACTTGCACACAAAAGTGTGAACTAAAACACCTATTATACTATTTTATTTCAACAACCATTACATTAATTTTTTAATTAAAACCACAAAAAATATACATTGGTCATATCGTACTTATACAATATTCTTACACCACGGGCTTTGAGGTGTGGAATTAAGATCAACACAATGACCTGCTTAAAGAAAATATGTAGCTAGTAAAAATTAAAAAAAACTAAAAAATTAATAAATACAACATAAAAACAAAAACAAAAAATATATTCTAAGGATGCATTAGTATTACTCTAAAGAAGAAAGAAAATTAAAGAAAAACATGGTATTGTTATTGTCAATATTCTTTCTATAAGGTCGATATAATTTTAAAAAGTTTGACTTAAGATAAAATGAATATGGGTAGTAAAAAGGAAAAGGAAGGAGTATTATGCAAATATGCCTAACATGGACAATTATAAAGATTTCTTGTCAAAACTTTTTTCTTATAAAGAGGATTCAAAATGTATTAACAACTTGCACAAAAATAAGCAAAACTTGCGCAATTATAATATTGTTATGCAAGAAATGTAAACTAATGCATATTTAATAATAATAATAATAATAATAATAATAATAATAGTGATGATGATGATTCAAAATAGATCAAAACAAGAAAAACAACTATTTTTTAGGTTTCTAGCAATTTTTTTATTAGTATCACACTTTTTTTAGAAACTGTATCACATAGTTACAATACCAATTAAACCCATCAAGGCGCACGAGAAGGGGCCAACCAGCTATGCGAAGTGGCGCATGCTGGTTGGCCACGGTGAGAAAGTTTTTGATTATTTAGAGATTAATTTTGGAAGATGAAGTGGGATTTCCCCCCTTTTTTTGAGAAAAGTTTTTCTATGATTTTCCCTCTTCTTTTTGGGATGGATGGGACCATGTGATGCGAGAATTTTTATTAAATGCATCGTCGCATGCACAAATATAGGAGAAAAACTTACGACTAAATGATTGACTAAGCATCCATGAACAATGACATAAAGAAACAAAAACAAAAATATATATTTTAAGATAAAATGAATTTGGGGCATTGGTATTTCCTAAAAAACACTCTATGCATGCGCAGGGCAAACACACACACGCACACATGATGTCACGTACACACGCAAAAGAAAAGCGCGCGCACACACACTGACATGCACTACACAATTCACATGAGAGATGAACGCGCACACAGTGAACAGACAATAGCAACTTAGCACGTACGCACTAGCACTACACAATTCACATGAGAGATGATCGTGGATTGAGGCTGCAGCGTTTTGGACACACAGAATTAACCGATTGGTTCCCGCAAAGGAAAAAAATGAATCAACAGATGGGACAGAAAATTTCAAGTGGCCCCAGTAATAGCAAACGCGATCTAATCATCAATATTCATGACCGTCTAAAAAACACCGAGAGAAATGAAACTTATATCTAGGCCCAAAATAATAAAAGTATATATGTAGGTCCGTAGACCATCTAGAGACGTCTATAAGCACTGGAGCCGAAAGCATGCCGTCATCCCCT